CCTCCCCAAAATAATTAAAGATTTTAAAGGCAGGATTGTACAAACGAGCCGGGCCGATTGCTTCAAATTATTATTGGTTTTTTTTTTTTTTTGGGGGGGGGGTGGCGGCGGGGGGAGGGTTTGTTGGTTATGTATATGGTTATGATACAAGTTAGCTATTTCCTAGTCCTCAGACTTATGTGTCTGCTTCTTTAGTTGTGTAATTGCTGTCTTCTGTGTTGTTTTATGCTACTTTAATGCTGTAAATGGTTTGCCTTGCTCTTGTGTTTTGCAAAATGCTTCTTAAAAAGTGATTGTTTTAGACCTTTATGCTGTATTGACAAGGAATGTGAAGGAGTACTGCAGTGTGTTTGGCTGGTTTTGGGGGTGGTTTCTTGTTTGTTTGTTTTTTAGCAAATTACTATAAAAGTCCTATCAGCCTCTAGGTGGGCAGGGGAGGCTAAGGCATAATTATGTGAAGTGTCTTTTATTGCTCAAGTCGGATTTCCTTTGGAGACCTCAGGTGCGGGTTTCCAAAGGCCCAGATGCAGATAAACTGAAGAAAATGCCTTCCTCTCTTAACATACTCCTGAAAACAAGGTGGGCCTCCTGCAGCTCATGGTCCACACAAGATATTGGTGTGCTAGTGCATTTAACTACCTCCTCTGAATCACTAGCTAAAGAGGTCCCTTGACTAGTAATGTCTAGCTGCAGAAGGTTTGGGAGCTGAAAGCTCTGCACCGAAACAGTGGGGTGGCTAAATGTAAAAGGATCCCAATTTGAACGGGTCTCACACAGCATCCCCTTTCTGATCAGGGATGTCTGAGGCAACTGTTGAACAGCCCAAGCACTAAAAGGGCTCGTTGCCTCTGATACTGTGTTGTCCAGAGGATAATGTGTAGCTGACCTTACAGCCTTGCTTGGGGGGGCTGTGCTTTTGTCCTTAGTGCTGTGAGTTGCTGATGGTCTGCTGGTGTGTTCTCAGGAGTGCCTGGCCCCCACAGCACCTTGTTTACTGCTGCTCGTGACAAAACCCCTCCGGTGCTGTCCCCTTTCTGTACAGTTCCGTCACCTCCCAGCTCCCTGATCCGACTGGGCTGGCTGTGGGGATGGGATTGGGGCAGGCACTGCTTGTGCTGTTGGCAGCCTACACGGTGATGCCTGCGAAGGACCCGTTGCTGAACATCTGTATGGATGCCAAACACCACAAAACCAAGCCTGGCCCAGAGGGGATGCTGCATGACCAGGTATGACTCTGCTGATGTGTTAGGTGGGATTGTCTAGGTCCCCTGTACCTACCTCCCCAGATGATACGGGCTGGTTTGTGCTTTGGGCTTAGCAACCACTTGCCTGAGGAAGAAAGCCTGTGCTGGGTATGAGGCCTGTTTTGTTTGCTGTTTCCTTCCAGCAAATGGTCAGGGCAGATGCAGTGGTGTGAGGATTTCTGTCAGGTCAGTGTCACCCCTCTTTAACCAGGAGGCCTCTGCTTTCCAAAGCTTAGGTACTCTGATCAGAACAAGGTAAAGGATGGCAAGGAAAGACACTCTTATCTGCTCCCTCTTTCAGTGTTAGAGACTTCTTGCTAACTGAAGAACTCTGCCCCCAGGTCCTTGGTGGGGATGGGGCTAAGAGCAAGCCAGGGTGCAAGAGAAGGGAGTTTGTTTCTGTTCCTCAGGCTGGCACTAATTCCTGGTGAGGCTCTGACCTCCTGCTCTTCCTGCAGCTCTACCTTGCTGCAGTCCTGAACCCTTCAGTTCACAGTGCCCAAGGGCTTGCTGGAGGAGAGAAAAATCCTCTTGCTGCTGAAGGTTTCTTGCTGTAGGCTATGCAGGGAGCTGGCACCTCTAGCATCCTCTGACTCCCTTGAGCTGCTGCCTGCCCTCCCTGACCAGCCTGTCTCTTTCTGTTATAGTGTGCTCCCTGGAAGGACAACGCCTGCTGCACAGCTAATACCAGTTTAGAAGCCCACAAGGACCAATCCAACCTGTACAACTTCAACTGGAACCATTGTGGGCTGATGCCACCCAAGTGCAAGAGCCACTTCATCCAGGACACATGTTTGTATGAGTGCTCACCCAACTTGGGGCCCTGGATTGACCAGGTAGGATCAGATCTGCTATGATTAAGACAACAGGGCTTGTGCTGGCCACATGATATGTTATATGCTGGTCCCCCATACAGTATACCCCTGGCATGTATGGGAGTGTGCTTTCCAGGGACACTGCAAAATTTCCTACTGGGTGGAAAGATTCAGAGGACTTTGCTAGCCTCTGCTTAGGTAGTCAGACAGGCTGATGGAAGAATTGCTTGTTGCTGGGGCTGAAACTCTTCTGAGATCAGCTCTGGAGCCCAGTGGAAGGGGCCGGGGGGGGACGTATCTGGGATGTGGCAGATCCTGCCCCTTAACTTTCAAGGGCCACCACCAGTGCACATGATCCTGTTCCCTTGCAGGCTGACAGCAGCTGGCGTCGGGAGAGGATTCTTCATGTGCCACTCTGCAAAGAGGACTGTGAGGCGTGGTGGGAGGATTGCAAGGACTATGTCACGTGCAAAGAGAACTGGCACAAGGGTTGGAACTGGGCAACAGGTCAGTGGGCTGTGTGGAGAAAGCCTCTCCTCACCCCTGCAGGCAAGCCCCTGGCAGTGTCACTGCTGCCTGCCCGGTGGCTGGAGCCAAGACCCCTAACTGCTCTTGCCTGTCTGTGGGGTTGCCAACTAGAAGGTGGCCAAGCCACCATCCATCAGCTAAGATGCAGTGATGGGCTGTGGGCAGGTGGCCTGCTCCTCCCAGGTGAAAGGACATGAATGAAGTGTGCTAGCTCATGTTGTTGTTTTCTTTTGTGGTGCTGTCTGTCTTCAGGAACGAACCGCTGTCCTTGGGGCTCCATGTGCAGACCCTTCAGCCATGTCTTCCCCCAGCCAAAAGACCTGTGTGAGAAAATCTGGTCCAACTCCTACAAATACACCACAGAGCACCGGGGTAGTGGACGCTGCATCCAGATGTGGTTTGACCCTGCCCAGGGAAACCCAAATGTGGTTGTGGCGAAGTACTATGCTTGGAAAAAGAGATCCTCCCCTGCTTGGATGGAGGATGTGACTCCTGAGACCGACAAAGCTGTGTGTGGTCTGCCATGGCCTGTCCTGGTCCTGCTGCCTCTGGCCCTCATGGTGCTCCCTGAGAGAGCTGGGGGTTGTGGGTCCCATGGATGGGGGTCCCCGTGACAGTTCCCTGAAGGGATGTGGCTTGGACTGCTCCAGCTGCCCTACAAGAGGAGCTGGCATAGGTAACTTAGGTCTGTCTGTTCAAACTGATCACACACACCCCAGTAAGTGCTCTGCATGAGTTATGTTGTTGGACCTTGATACTTGCCTCTACTTTCAGCTGCTGACAAAGGCAGTTATTTCCTTGCCATCCTAGGAAGGTTAATACTGTGTGTCTTTGCTCTGATGTAGGAGCTCCTTCATATCTGTTCCCACCTCATGGCTGTGTGCTGGGTTGGCAGTGCTTGTTCAAGGTCCTCAGCTGAGCTCTGTTGTCTGGTCTCTCAGATTGCTCTGACTTCCCTGAAGGGTGGAATAATAAAATACTCCTCTGAATCAGCCTTGCTGTACTGAAGTTAAGTACTATCGAGGAGGTAGAAGCATTCTGGGGGTGGAACAAGGCTGCTGGTCTGGACTGGGGGGTGGTGGGTGTAGGGATCTGTACATGTAGGAGTCTGCCTGGGGGTAGAGAAGATGTAGATCTCCTGGGTCCTGGTGGCTCCTTAGCTGCTGTGCTTTGCCCAGTCCTGCTGGAGGAGATGCAAAGTTGTCTGCATGCCCATGCTGGGACTCCTGCAGCAGACCACAGCTAGCCATGAGAAGCACCTGTAAGGTCTCCTCCCTAGTCACAGCACTCTCTTCTATGCTTCTTCCTCTTCTCTCTGAGCCAGGCCTCTCAAAGCTGGATGCAGGAGCAGTCTGACCACCTGTGCTGGAGCTAAATCAAGTTGCTGCTGCAGCCTGGTGCAAGGGGACCTGATTTTGCAGACCACAGCTAGCCATGAGAAGCACCTGTAAGGTCTCCTCCCTAGTCACAGCACTCTCTTCTATGCTTCTTCCTCTTCCCTCTGAGCCAGGCCTCTCAAAGCTGGATGCAGGAGCAGTCTGACCACCTGTGCTGGAGCTAAATCAAGTTGCTGCTGCAGCCTGGTGCAAGGGGCACCTGATTTTTTTTTTTTTTCCCAGCCCAGCAAGTGCCTCTGAGGAGCATCTTAGCAGAAATGTCTTTGGCCTGCAGCTGTCCAGAGACTGTATGTGGAAAGCTCCCTCTCCTTATCTACAGCTGTGCAGTTTGGGTTGACTAGTACAGCTTTCCTCCCCCTGCCTGTGGCCTGGCTTTGGCTGTGTATTTGTATTGCTTCAAAACTTTCTCTTCCCCTGGGGGCAACAGTTCACAGCCTCCCACACAGCACTTGCAGATGTCATAAGTAGCTGTGCAAAGGCTCGCTGCTGTGCTTGTTTTCACTTTGAGGAAGAAAAAGAAAAATAAACCTCTAGCAAAACTTATAGCAACTTCTGAAAGGAATGTGACGCCCATCTACAAGAAGGGCCGGAAGGAGGATCCGGGGAACTACAGGCCTGTCAGCCTGACCTCGGTGCCGGGGAAGATTATGGAGCGGTTCATCTTGAGGGCGCTCACAAGGCATGAGCAGGACAACCAGGGGATCAGACCCAACCAGCACGGATTCATGAGAGGCAGGTCCTGCTTGACCAACCTGATCTCCTTCTATGACCAGGTGACCCGCCTAGTGGATGAGGGAAAGGCTGTGGATGTGGTCTACCTGGACTTCAGCAAGGCCTTTGACACTGTCCCCCACAGCATTCTCCT